ATGTTGCTGCCATTCTTTAATATGAGTGTATGGGGGATTGATCCAAACAAACTCGCCAGATACGTCCGTATCAAAGAACGAGTTGGATGGAGAGGCAAAGCGCGAACAGAGACTGTTGTCGCCCGAGTCGTTACAAGCGGCATCGAACGTAAATTGACGCCCAAGTTCGTTCTCAACTCTTCGAAATTCATCACGAAGGAACATCCGATCACATATCAACGGATCGCAGACGGGCGGAACAACAGAGTCCCTAATCTTCAAGTCAGGCTCGGCAGAAGAGACTTGGTCTACACGTGCTACAGCACTAACGGCCTGCTTGAAAGACACCCCCTCGCGCTTGCCAGCGTCCTAATTAGCCGGTCGGTTCGCGTTTAGACTAGCCGTCTTCTCCTGCAGTCGGGCCATCTGCTCCTGCAGGTGGCGAAGGCAGTCCTTCTTGTGCTCTTCCCAAGTCTGGTTCGCCGGTTTGAGGCGAGAGCACATCCGACACTTGAGAGGAGTACCGGACGTTGACGTCCGCGGTTTCTTCGCACGAACCGTTTCCCAGGCCTGTTTGGAAGGGGACCGAGGGCGAGATTGCTTAGGGCGAGAGGAGGAAGTAATCTTCGACGGGCCAGCTTGCGTAGTAACTACAGCAAGCTGTGCTTTGTCCTTTCCGGCTTTCCACCGAACCTCCTGACCGCTAGCATACAGGATTAGCTTCTCTAAATCCTGCCAATCTTTGCCCTCATCGTCCGTAGCGCAGCGACCGCGCAGCGCAGGAACTAAGCCCTTGATATACCAAGAGATTTGATCCGCAACACTCATATCATTCGCTTCGCGAACAATATCGTAAAAGCGCTGCGTATACTCCGGTACGGACTCGTCTATTTTCATATCGTACTCGTGCGCGTGCAAACGATCGCGTGCGGCCATCGCGGTGTCGCGCTTTGCATCCCCATATTGTAACAGGAATTTATCACGCAACAAATCGCGGGTAAGAGGTTGCGCGCCGGACTTGTGCTTAAGGAAAAGGTCTGCGGCCCACTCCTGAGCCTTGCCCGTAAGCCAGAACATAAAGTGCTCAAGCGGGTCCATTTGCGACAAGTCAAAATATTGCATAAGGAGCGCGAACCATGTCTTAGTATTAGTAATTTGCGAATCCTTCTTTCCACTAAAACGAGGTGGTGCAAGGATACGCTTATTTACCTCGGAGGGACGAGCAGACTTGGAAGGAGGGGCCGCCGAGCCGGAAGGACCACCGGCTTGCTTGGCGATGCCCTCGCCCCAGAGCTGCTTGACCTCTTCCAAGCGTACTTCGGGATTAAGGTGGCGCTGCAGAAGCGCCTGGAAAGCGCAATTCTGCAGCATATCCACGTCAAGAAACGCGGCCAGATTGCTGTCCAACGTCTCGCAGATGCCATCAATAATTATCGTCTTACGCCTAGTGTCCGACGTACTCGGAGGCGGCGACGTAGGTGACAAATCCCGAAGCTGCGCTTGCACATCCTTCAGGGCGGAGGTTATTTCGCCCAAGCGCTCGCCGTATTCGGCGAGAATGCCATGAACCTCTCCCTTAAAGGAAGATAATTCCGCTTGAAGAGCGGGGACTTGATTGTCGCGAGCCGCGCGAAGCATTTCTTGGACCTGCGCGGCTGCCGCAGCCTGCGCTGGCGTACGCGCCGGAAGCCCGCCCGTAGAAGGCGAGGCCCGCTGCGCGGTCTCCGAAGGCGATTCCGCCGGAGAATCAACGTCCATCTGTGGACAATCAACAGGAATATTATTAATATGATGTTCCTTATTGGGAATAGCCAAAGGGCGTTCGTCTTCGTCGTCGGACTCAGTAGCCTCGGGCGCAGTAGGGTCCTGTTCCTGAAGGGATGCTTCGCGGTACCTTTCATACAATTTTTGAAGCTTAAGGAATTTAGTCAAACGCTTTAGCGCGGCCTTATTGTAGCGCATCGCGTCAAGGAGGATCGAACTTGACCCTCGATACCAATGTAGCAGTCGCTCACCTGACGGGAGGACTGACAGAGCGGAAGCGTGGAGTTATTGGTCCTCGTCGTTGTAGGAAGAAGTCCAACCAAGCGGCAAGCACTAGCGTACATAAGATGTGTACGTAACAGTTAGAGACGGCGGCAGCGGAGTCTTGAACTCCGAACACCTAGTAATGTGATACGTCAGTGTCTGGCCAGAACACCCCGCCCGGGTAGCTTATATCTCGGCCTACCTGCCGGATAATCTCTACTACGGACCTTGCCGTACTAGGATAATGTTGGTGGGGCCCGGGGCCCCAGCCCGTTAGATTCGCTTACGAACAACTGCCCAGTTCGCGACATGTGACGAAACTCGGAACATGTACGAAACTTGAGTCAGATCGTTTAACAAATTAACAGTTATTGTTAAAAGTAATCGTTAAAATATTCTAAGGGAAATGTAGCCTGCTACAGTGTTGTTTCATTTTGAGTGGAAGGCCGTAGTCGTCCGGCATTCGTGGACGGCAGCCATACACAAGGTAGAAGGGCATGTAGCCCGTGGCTTCACATTTGCTGTTGT